TGAATGCTGCGGCTATAAAACCTTCATTAGCACATGACATAAATAGACAGTGGTACAGTTGTCGTAAAGAATACACAAAAATCACATAGCTGAGCTACCCCCAAGGAAAATCAACATGTCTGTCTGGCCAGCTGAAGCCTTGACGCATGTGTGAACATAGGAAATGAATATTAACCAGAAAAGGCGGGGTCAGGCAGGGCCATAACTCAAAAATATTAGATAAAGCTGTTCCTCGTGTGGGTTCTGGGGCCTGATTGTGGGTGAAAACAAGAATTTTCCCACTGCCTCCCCAAAAAGCATGTCGTAAGAGTTAACTAATTGTGGACTTCCTTCGAAGTTGGAGTATATCTGTCCGAGAGGCAAGGAACAACTAACTGCACACACAAAAGCAAGTAAAATGGATGTGCACGCAAAATTCAGGCCCTGACACGAAGCCAAAGTCCAAATGGACGAACAACCTGGACTTTCCACCGGAGCTTAGAACTGGTGAATAAAAAAAAAAAAAACATGATAGTAAATCTGTGTTAGACTTTAAGTCCATTTGGTGGATTACCATTACTAATGTTTCTTTCTTGTACCAGACGATATCGAGAATAGAGGGAAACAAGCTGATCCAAGAACAGAAGGGAGAAGTTGACACCCATGTGGAGAGGCAGTTCTCCAAGGACAACTTTGTCTTGGTGAGTGATTGCAATGTGCGTGTGCTAAACTCGACTGTATTCTTAACCCTGTCAGTGCCAGGCAGCTTAGTCTTAGACTTGAGTTGAGTTGAGTCAAGAATTGACATCACAGCACTAGGGTTATTCCCATGCCTGCTCCCTCCTCATCTTCAGCAGCCAGCGAAGAGTTCCAATACTGACGGTAGCGGTCAAAATCTGGTTATACAAATGAGTCAGGTCTGTAAAACGGATGCACACGCAATACTCAGGTTCTGAAACAGGACTGCAGTCCAGAAGTGGACGAGCAGCCAGAACTTTCCGCCGGAGTTTACAGCTGGTGAACGCGAAGAAGAAGAAGACAATCTGGTTATATGTCCGTCTTGTCTTTCCTCTGAGTGTAGTGAGCCGGCCAAACCCCTTGGTTACGCCAATATGCCTCATTCTCTTCAGGCTATAATAATCTTCTATCTCTACTGATTTCGTTGCTTGTTCCCAAAGGGCCTTGACCACATCTGCCTTGTCATGTTTCAATTCACCACCCAGTGGTGCAGATCCAGCTAATCTGTCTGCATGTTCATTACCCACCACGCCGGCATTGCCTGAACAAAAGATGCAGAGTATGCTCACCAACCGTGACCTTTCCAGTTCGGACATGTATTAAAATCTAACGGACACTCAGAAAGGTTTCCACACAGCTCAGTAGAGGAGAACAGGAAAAGAGGCGGACCAAGAAGGACCTGAATACAGAACTTGCCTGGACGGGCCTTAGGTGTGCAACCACGAAGTCCATTGGATTTGACTGTCAAAGGCGTAGGGAGCTGATCAGACACTCAGCAGCAACTGGTGACCCAACCAACACGCAGATGATTCAAAATTAAACGTTACCCGGTAATCGAACACGTCATTTCCAAACGACGGCAGCGCCTCGCTGCAGGAATTAGTGTACTTCGACGCATGACCATCTCGACACTCAACATTTTTCTGTGAGTCTTTCTTTCTTGCTGGTGTCCATTTCTGCTTTGTGCCGATAGGCGTCACAGATTAGCAGATGATCAGTGTCCGAGCCAGGGCACGCCCGGTTGAGCGGTATGCTGTGTTGTTGTTGAGTCTCAACATATAAGTTACTCCTTCAGTCCATTTTTTCTTTGTCGTCCCCTATCTCTTGGTGTTTCTACTTTCATGATGTACACTCTTGTTGCTGGCATCACTGGATTCATTCTCATTACAAGGCCAACCCATCCCACTCGTATTTTTTACTTACTTACTTACTTACTTACTTACTTACTTACTTACTTACTTACTTACTTATTTACTTTCTTACTTATTTACTTACTTACTTACTTACTTACTTACTTACTTACTTAGTCGCTCCTCTTCTACTTTGGGGTGTAGTGGTTTGCCGGAGAGATCACCAGACCTCTCTATCAGCAGTTTTCTTTCTAGCTTTGTTCCATTCCAGTTCTCTGTCAGTTAGGGACTTTCGAATGTTGTCTTCCCAGCGCACCCTTGGTAATTCAACAGTATATATATATATATATATATATATATATATATATATATATATATATATATATATATATATATATATATATATATATATATATATATATATAATTTAATTATAGGCGTTGTTTGAACAGTTCTGTTATTGTCAATCATTCAATGTAAATTTGTTTAATAACTTTACTGTATGTTATGATGTCAGTCGTGGACTATCTCGCAGTCCTAATAAAGATACTGGGTGCTTTGGAGCTGAAATGCTATAGAAAGGTTCTCAGAATATCATATACAAAGGGAAGAAAGAAATACTGTCATTTAAAAAAATCTGACCATGAAGGAAGATTGGCTAATACACAGCATCCTGTCTCGGAAGCTGAAATATGTTGGTCATATCAAGCGCCATGACGGACTGGAAAAAAATAATAGCAGAAGGCATGGTACCAGGAAGGAAGGGCGGGGGTCGACCAACGTGAAGTTGGGCACCGGATATTTGAGTCCTTGAATATGGTACACGAGGTGGGAATGCTGGCGCGAGACCGAGTTTCTTTTAGGCAGACCGTGATGAGAGCGACGTTCTGCAAAGGACCTGCTACATGATGATGTATGCTTAATGTATATGCAAAACCTTAAACTTTGTTTTAAAAAATTCACACTTATTGAGACTGAAAAAAGACTATTTCATGAAAACGATTTGTCTGTCTGTCCTCAGACGCTGAAAGCAAAGGATGTCGTCTGCACAAGGGTTTACAAAAGGGTTTAAATTTAAATACTTTAATATTATAATGTAGATCTTATAGTGGGACATACCTAGGTGTATAGCCTACACTTATGTCCTCTACTGTCAGATTGCCGTAAACTGTGGCGTATAAGTCGAGTTTTCAAACCTAAAAATAGATGTCAAAAACTAGGGGTCGACCTATACAGCGGGTATGAACTACGAGCCTTGATCGGCAAGTGGTAAAGTAAGTAAATTTCACCCCACCATGACATCACACAAAACGATAAACACCCGGTGACACAAAGTGCTACCACGCGGATGAGGATCTCTCGTGGAGAGGTCCCACAAACCGCGTTCAACCATAAGGTTAAATTGCAGTCTCTGGCAACATCTAGGGTGTGGCTTTAAAAAAACAATGCATCCCACAAGGGGGAAAACGAAGGTATAACTTGTAAACAACTAAGGCGGCTTTATTAACTGCCAGTGTACACCATTTACTGTTCCTTCAGCCGCCATAAATATATCCTATTTAAACGTGGTGAAGAAATCTGTCATATTAACGCATTGACAGACAACCGTATGTTTTGAGGTTGATCTGTACGATAGGCACAGGCTTGACTCCGAATTATGAGCTAAAAGTCTTGGGACCAAAGGTCGATTTCTACGCTAGCAATTAAATTATAGGCAGTTTTTTTTTTTTTTTTTTTTTGTTATTTTGAAGGCTTTTGCCAGGGGCCCCAAATATAGCCGGGCCTGAAATGTGTTTGCACATTTAAATGTGTTTCCTGAGTTTCCAGGACCTCTGCACGGGTGATGCTCATCCGCAAGGTAGCACTTTGTGTCACCGGGTGTTTATCGCTTGTGTGATTGCCTGGTGGGATACAACTTACATACATACATGCTTGAACGCCACAATTCGCGGTAACTAGGGAATACTGTTATTCATGCATGCATTATACTGTTACACATATTTAGTTGTACCGTCATACATGCATATGTTGTCGTGTGAATCTTTTATTGAGACCTGCATTCGTGCAATGCTGGATCTAGGCATAATATAATAACTAAGATATAGAAGGGCCTCACAATCTGTAGGGACCTCACAAGATTCATAATTTTGTTTTAATATATATATTTTTTATTTCCTAGATATTTTCTAGTTTTATATGTATTATTTTAGGTATACAGTGTGCTGGTAATGCTAGTGTGCTAGAAAACGAGCAGTCATAGAGACTGGCCGGTTCTTCGCCGCTTGATGGGGAACTGATGAATGGCAAGTGTGATTTTGTGAGAGCCCTTTGAGAGCGCGTCAACAGTGCGAAGGCATAAATAGATCATTACTGTCTGACGAAGATGGCGATGCGGGGAGTTGTCAGGGAATCTGGCAGACGCTCAGACACTCAAGGGGAGGGGCGAGACGGATATATATAAATATAATCAGACAGTTACTGGTGCCATCGATATTGGAACTACTCACTTGCTGCTGAAGATGCGCACAAGGCGCTAATAGGGGTGTCCCCAGTGTTGTGATGTCGATTCTTAATTAAACATTCAAAAAATTTATTTTTATTTTTAGGTTCACTGTAATATCTTATCTTAGCTTCTATTGATTCTACCTTTTTTGCAGTCTGTTTACTCTCAGTTAACTACTGGACGTAATTTGCCTAGAAAAACCGCACAACAGCCAGGGGTTGTTGGGGCTGGTTCTGCAACGTCCTGTAAAAAATATGCAACTAACCTTTATATTAAAATAAATCATCAGCTTGATGTGCCACAACGTCCACTTTTTATTGACTTACATCTTTTAAAATGTTCTGAGTTTAAACTAGTGCAATTTAACACCGTAGGGGCTTCAGTGCTTTATATGGCTTAGGGCGTCATCGAGCCAATGCTAACATGATGTGTACTATAATACATAATTAGGAAATAATATTATTCGTACTTGATTCATACTTAAATTGTTCTGTGCTAGTTACTATTCTGTAGCGTCTCGCACAAATTTATTGTAATGCATAGCAGTGGCATGTTTGCATACACACAGATGTCATGTTTATATGTGTGCATGTTGTGTGTACGTAAACTATGGATTTGTATCAGCTTTTAGGCTTTTCACTAAACAGTAAACACTATTTTTATGTAAATGCATTCTAGTATCGTTTTACTAACATGGGTGTGTCTTTTTCTTCTTATTTTTTTTTTCTTCTTTTTCTTCTTCTTCTTCTTCTTCTTCTTCTTCTTCTTCTTCTTCTTCTTCTTCTTCTTCTTCTTCTTCTTCTTCTTCTTCTTCTTCTTTTTCTTCTTCTTCTTCTTCTTCTTTTTCTTCTTCTTCTTCTTCTTTTTCTTCTTCTTCTTTTTCATTTTCTTCTTCTTCTTCTTCTTCTTCTTCTTCTTCTTCTTCTTCTTCTTCTTCTTCTTCTTCTTCTTCTTCTTCTCCTCCTCCTCCTCCTTCACCTCCTCCTCCTCCTTCTTTTTCTTCATCATTAGCATCATCATCGTCATCATCATCTCCTAATTTTTTTCCTTCTCTTTTTCGTTCCTTTCTTCTTTTCTCCTCCTTTTTCTTGTTTATACCTTTCTTCTTCTCCTCCTCCTCCTCCTTCTTCAAGGCTTTCGGCTCTTGTTCCTCCAACACCCTGAACAATAGACATATAATGCAGTTGTAGAGTTTCTATATATCTCCATCTCGTTCCTGGTTTAACTCTTTGCTCTGTGTCCCTCACCTCTTTGGTACATGTACTTTATGTATATACTCTTCCCTTACTCATAGCAAGCATGTCGTATGATGCGACTAATGAAGAGTTTGCTGAAAACGGATGTGTTGTTGCGAAATTTTAAGATATTACAGTCTAGTTGTAAACGACAACACGACATGCTAACCTCCCATTTAAGAATGAATGCAGGAGAAGGAGGAGGAAGAGGAGGCGAAAGAAAGGAAGAATTAATATGCAGGCCCGTCTAACAGTTTGCCCTTTAAACTTCAATCCCTTAACACAAGGATTCATTCAGACATCTTTTAACATGAAATAATATACATCATCAACAACAACAACTCAACTAATTAAAAGTAATGTGGCGCGGTGATTTATGTCACAGGCGTGAGGGGAAGTTAAGCCCAACATGATGTGTATAAGGAGACACTCCGTACGTCACTCGGGCGCCAGTCCTTTACTATCCTGGTTGTACGGAACCTCACGCAAGACCCCTACAGCACGTCCTCGTCGTGCGCTACGGATAATGTCTCAAATGAGCATTAACAGAGCTGTCAGGGGATCTCGGAGTTTGGCGGCTCCCAGAGGTGATGTGTCCTTGTGGCTCTCATCAGCCCGCCCCCAAACGCTTGGGTGAAAAATGTTATCAAAACTCATTAGGAACATGAGTAGGTTTGCCAAAATTACAACCCTTGGTTAAAAGACTGCGGAGTAAAGAGAACATTGTTCACTGCACATGCTCTGTTAATTCTCAGTGTCGTCGTCACCGCGCTGAGGTGCACCACAACAGCAACCATCCATGGGCTGGCCATCCTTGTGCATCCTCGGTTGGCCCTCATTGTCGTCGTCACCGCGCTGAGGTGCACCACAATAGCAACCATCTATAGGCTGGCCATTCACGTACATCCTCGGTTAACCCTCAGTGTCGTCGCCACCGCGCTGTGGTACACCACAACAGCAACCATCCATCGGATGGCTAAACTTAAATGTCCGACAAAACTAGATCGTACGGATCAAAATCTGACCATCAAAATTTGCACTGAACTGAAAAAGACCGAATGTCCACACCCAGAGACCCCACTCGCCCGAGTGTTGGGACAAAACTGATAACGATATGCCAGATTCAGGATGTAAAATTCTGTCGGGCTAACGGCTCATCAAAGAAATCCAACGTGCGAGGGAAAAAAAAAAAAAGAATGTACCTATCTGTGTGGTTACAAAAGTCCAAAACCCACGGGCTGCTCCCCGCTGACTTCCAGAGGGCGCAGCCCCTGTCGAGCGGGAGGCCTGATACGGTTGTGAGGTTAAGCAGGCATGTGCAGGACGTGACGATTCCTTGGGTGAGCCCAGAACCAGAGCGCCATGTGCCGGCTCTGCATGCATGGAAGCCTCCTTGGATGGCGGGGAATGCCCATGATCTGCCCCTGCCTTCCCTTGAGGGCCAACTGTTCCACAGGGGGCTGCCCCAAAGGGGTACTCCGGGGGCAATACCTGCGGCGAAGGAGACAAAGTGGACACCACACAAATCAGGCAACGTCTCGACCCACACAAAACAATGGCCACAGTCACCCTAGAAATAGGCCCGACGTCTTCCTTCGAAGTCGGCGTACAGCTGCCCAAGAGGCAGGGAAATGAAAAACGGTTGTACACGCAAAAATCAGGTCCAGGTGAAAGCCAAAAGTCCAAGCGGACGATTAACCTGACCTCCCACTGGAATTCACAGCTGGTGTTCGATGAAAAAAAAAAAATTAAAAGCAATCTAAAATGCTCGGATTATGCTTACATTTCTAACCAAAGTAAGCCATTATCATCATATAGCAGGTCCTTTGTAGAACGTCGCTCTCATCACGGTCTGCGTGAAAGAAACTTGGTCTCTCACCAGCTCTCCCGCCTCATATACTTTCATACTAAAGGAGCCACTTATATCCTGTGCCCATCTTCGTGTTGGTCGGCCCCTGCCCCTCATTTTGCCTTCTGCTACTTTTTTTTTTTCAATCCGCCATGACTCTTTTGAAGTTACCCAATGGGAGAGAAGGGCTGACAATAATCGTCAGGCAAAACCACTTTTTTGTTTGCTAACGTTGAAAGTCTAAGAAAATGAACCCGTAAAATAAATTACGTTATAGTTACTTACTTAGGCAAGCAATATTTTTTTTTACTTCAAGATAGAAAGGGTCGTAAACAAATTTCCTGCTAAAAATCCTATTTACATGCAAATTGGGAATGGTTTATGACTCACCGATTGGTTATCAACATCGGAAATTAACGATGAATATATAACTTTCCCCAATACAGAACGCTTTTTGGGTTTTTTTTTAAAGCCCCTCTCCGTCT